TGTGTGTGTGTGTGTGTGTGAGGGGTTACATACAGACATGGACTCAGTTGTCTGGAGAGAGGCTGGTACAACCAAGTAGTTCCTACAGACCCAATATGTGCGTGGGGAAATGGCACCAGATCAAAACACAGAAAAAATTAGGGCAATGAGAGGTCCCACTGACCAGAGATATCAGAAGTTCTGGAGAGGGGATAGCGTGTTCTTCGGAAGGAAAAAGCAGAGAGAAAAAGAACTTCAGCAGATGGAGATATGAAAGGAGAGAAGGAGCTGACAAAGGATTGGATCAACCCAAATTTATCTCTTCACTGGTACTGAGTCATGAGGACTGTGCTGGTCTCAAGGAAAAATAAGATCCAGCAAAGTAGGGGATTTCTGGACTTCCTAGTAGCCCTGAGTTCCTCTTGCTGAGAGTGTCACCCCTGCTCTCTCTCCCAAGGTAGGACTATAAGGACTATACACCTTCCTGAGAGAGGTTCACAAAAGAGAAGGCTGCTTCATTTTCCAAGCACTAGCAACAACAGGTACTTTCAAAACCCTTAGAGTGGGCACAGGGCATCTGAGTGCTTCGTGTTTTCTGTCAATTTAAATAAAATTTGCCTTATACCCAATATCTGGTTCTTGCAGTTCTTGTATGAGAGAGCTGAAGGGATTTGGAGCAAGGCTTTTTAACCTTTTTCGTTTTAGTTATGGACCCCTCTGGCAGACTGGTGAAACTGACGGACCCCTCCTCAGAATAATGTTTTTAGATGTATAAGATAGAATACATAGGATCATAAAGGAAGCCGATCATATTGAAATACAGTTAACAAAACACATATAAAAAGAAAGAAAACAAGTTCATGGGGGCTCCAGGCTAAGAACTGTTAACCTTAGAGAGACAAAAATCAAATTCCAGTGTTCACAGGGAAATCCTGAATGGATAGAAAAATGAGTCAAATTATGATGTTTTCAGGAAAAACCCTGGGTAGGGATGTGAGCCGTAGAGTTAGATGCTGAGAGCTCTAAGAATTGAACCAGGTTCATGAGAGCTGGACCTCATGTGAACCCAGAGATTCAGTAAAGGGTCATAAATTATAATCATTTGCCTAAAGGTTGTAAATTTAGAGCTTGAAACTGAAAAGGAAGGAGGAAGGATAAAACTTACAGGTATATTCTCCAGACTAAGTCACCTAAGAGTGGCTACAAAGGTAGGAAACAGACTAGCCCTAAAGATATTTAGGAATTCTCAGGACACAAAAATTCGAGAAAGGAACTATTGATAACATGGCTGACAAGAAAGGCAACCTAGAAATTCCAAGGCAAAGAAACCAATCTGACCTCATAAGTATCACTGAGGGTGGGATTCATAACTGGATATGGCTTTAGAAAGGGGGTTCCTTATTTGAAAGGAATACACTAGGCAAAAGCATGGTTCAGTGTGCGTAGGAAGGATGTGAAGGAGAACATGTGGGCAGGAAGAAATGTGAAGAATTTGGGTAACAAGCAATGAATTCAATGAAGGTAGAAATAGAAGTAATACTGTCATTTCCCCCAAATTCACTCCTCTTTCAAACTTTCCTGTTTCTTTGGAAAGTACCACCAATCTTCCAGTCTCCTAAGTTCATAAGCCAGTGCTGTCCTTGTGTCCTTACTCTCCCTCACCCATAACTGTGATTAATTGGCAATCTTGTCATTCTACCTTCCCAACATCTTCCCTTTTCTCTCTACTGATACGTCCACTATCTTAGTTCAGGCCCTCATCAGCTCTCACTGAGATTATTGCAATGCCTTCTGTAGGAAAAATGACTTACTATAGTGTTTGGAAAATTATTATAATGTTAAAATCCAACCCTATGTATTTAAAGGCTGTCTACACTCATGTCACCTGACCCCAGTAACTCTCTAGGAATGCTAGAGATGGCTACTAAATATTTTGGGTTCTTCCCTGTCCTGGATCCACCCAAAGCATTCTTGTTTGGGGTTACAACACCCAGGACTTATGATGGATGTACCCAAGCTTTTATTTTGGGTTCCACTGAAAATTTACAGTTACTCATGTCTATCTCAATCTCCCTTGCTTTCAAGTTGTCTTCTTGGTAACTTTGCTTAACCACGTACATGTGGTTCATGTGCCGGTACCTTTGTCTAAATTCTATATAATATAAATCTTCCAGAGCCGGGATGAGAGGGAACCACATTTCCTTTCTGGTTCAGTCTCCTCTATCAAATGACCTAATAAATTTCTTTCTAAAACTATTTCAGATTTTGGGGTATGTTCTCATGAACAGCACCTCCTAAGTGGTTTCTGTGCCTGCAGTCTCTCTTCTCCGATCCATCCTCCACACAGCTGTCAAAGTGATTTTCTTTAAGTCCAGATCTGCCCATGTGGTTCCCATCCTCAATAGACTTCAATGACTCCCGATTACCTCTCTGATAAGATATGAAGTCCTTTGCTTAGCTTTTTCAGCCTGTTACCACCGGGCTCCAACCTTATTGTATATTATTCCCCCTCCTTTGCTTTATGATCAAGCCAAACTGGACTTGTCTTTTTTCCTCACATAGAGTACTCCTTTTCCCATCTTTGAGCCTTGGCACTATTCTCCATGCCTGGATCACATTCCTTCCTCCTCTCAAACTCAAAGAATCCCTCTCTTTCTTCAAGATGCAGTCCAAGTACCATCTTCTACATGAAGCCCTTCCTGAGTGTGGTCTGAACCATATTAAAATGTAATTGGGAAATATTTAACCAGATCAATAAAAATGCCATAAAACATAGATAATATTACATTTTAAAACTAAGTCAATATGCAGCCTGCAGGGATCCTCATGTATGGTTTAGTGGCCCACATTTCTTGTGAGTTTGACACCACTGCCCCAGAGGATGGGTCTTCCCCACTTTCAAAACGGGGTGCCCTTAGGTCTCTTGTAATGGAAGAGAAAACAGAGAGCAGGTAGAAAGGACAAAGGCATTGGATTTGAAGTACATGTTTATTGTGCATTGGTCATGCTGGACCCCAGGGATGGAGGAGAACAGAGTGCCTCGCTTGAGTTGTAGGGAGGAGGCTTACTCCTCATCATGCATCTTCTGTAGGAGAAGAGAATAGGAGAGGTGAGAGGGATATCCTGGCAGGAGGGAGAATAACAGCCAGAGGTCTTAGGATGGGTTGGGGATGTGAATATCAGAATTCAGTATCTAAGGTAACTAGGTGGTGCAGTTCATAGTTTGTTGAGCTTGGAGTCAGGAAGGTCTTGGGTTTGAATCCTGGCTCTGCTACTCACTAACTGTGGGATCCTAGGCCAGTCATTTAACCTCCTTCACTTTCCTTATCCATTAAATGGGGGTTATAATAGCCCTTGACTCGTAGGGTTGTTGTGAGAATCAAATGAGATAACACTTATAAAGTGCTTTGCAGACCCCAAAGTGCTAAATAAATGCTTTTGTTTTGTTGTTTAGTTGTTTTTCACTGGACTCTTCATGACCTCTTTTAGGGTTTTCTTGGCAAAGATACTCAAATGGTTCACCATTTCCCTCTCAGGCTCATTTTACAGATGAAGAAACTGAGGCAAACAGGGTTAAGTGACTTGCTTGGGGTCACACAGTTAAGTGTCTGAGGCTAGATTTGAACTCAGGGAGATGTCTTCCTGACTTCAGGCCTGGTACTCCAAAACTGTGCCGCCTAGCTGTTGTTGTTATTAATTCAGAGGGTGTGGGATGTGACAGGTTTGTGAGGTAGTGTGTGTGTGTGTGTGTGTGTGTGTGTGTGTGTGCGGTAAGGGTTTCACTGGGAGTGAGAGGTAATAGCTTTGTTGGCTTATGCGTGTAAGGATGTCTCTGCGGGAGGGGTCAAGGGACTTTTTTTCTTTTTCTTTTTTTTTTTGGTAGGGGGAGAAGAAGCTCTCTGGGAGAGTCCAGGATCTCATTGGATGTCTCACAGGGTCTTAGGGATTTAAAGGATTCTCTCTGGAAGTAAAAGGTCAGAGTCCGAAGTTTACAGGGTCTATATTTTGCGGGGAATCGCTCTACTATCAACTCTAAATATCTTGTACTTGTAGCTTTATGAACCTGTGCGAGTTACCCTGTTATGAATATTAGTCACCTGGGCAAGACTAGGCTAATGTGAGGTTGTGATTTCAGAATTACACGGGTTATGAGGGAAGGAGCTGAAGACTATGTGTGGGCCACTGGAAAAGATCTGGTGGTGGATAGAAAGCTAGTGGGGGGCAGATATGCGTGAGGCTACAGCCAGAGTCTTTTCCCCAGAGTGGGGGAGGCGTGGAGCAATTTAGTCTAGAAATCACAGAAATGGTCAATTTCTCTAGCCAGCTAAAGAAAGGGAACCTGGAGAAGACTCTGGATGTG